ATATATATATATATATATATAAAAGAATTTAGTGGTCCATAACATTATATACATAATGGGCTCATATATTCTTTTAAACCCAAATGCTTTGAAAGGTTCAAGACGGCGTCGTTTCATGTGGAAAATCAATTGATGATAGTTCATGGATGGACTCAACCGGGTCGTTGTCCCGACCCGAAGTGGTGTTATCCATGTGGCGTACGAGAGCCACGTGGTCAACATCAACGGATGGGATTTTTTAGGGAAAGAGCCAATTGGAAAAGGTTGGTGTTGCTTTCATAAAAATAGTAAGTGTCCTTTCTAGGACCAAAAAAATATCTTAAATAGAATGTTTGATTTTAATTCTTTTTTAAGGAAATAATAATAAATATAGGAAAGTTACATTTATCTAACCTTATAATAGTATACTAGTTCAACGATTCCATTATTTTAGAATTAGATCATTAACCTACTTTTGGATTTCAACTTTGTATATAGTATATTTTTAGGGTAAATTATAAAATTGGTATTTAAAATTTGGCACTTATTACAATTTAATTTTTAAAGTTTTTTATTTATTTATTTTAAACGTACAATTTTATTTTATTTTTTGATTAAAATCTATTTAGATATCTTGATTCCTTGCACTCATATGTTTTTTTTTTTTTTAAAAAGCTCGTATATTTATATGCATATATAAATATATGAATATATATACACATGAGATTAAGAATTAATTTCTTATGGAACGGACATATATATATATACATGTATATATAAACCATCTCATATTCCAACTCCAAAATATCTTCTAAATATAAACCTTCTCCACTATTAGAAGTCTTTCAACCCCCACAAGATTATCCCAGTACGCTACTTATACCTAGTTGCCCCTTCAAATAAAAATCAACCCCCCAAGAAAAGAAGACAACCAAACACAGAAGAAAACTCCTTAAAAATCTTGCTTCTTGACCCGCCATGTCATTCCCATTACCTCCCCGAGTCAACTCAATCGAGTCATCAACAAAATTCTTGTCAGCATCATCGTCTTCGTCTTCTTCTTCTTCTTCGTCCTCACCGTCGACCGAAGACTCGGAACCTTTCCACTGGCACTACACAGAGTTCGACGACAAGAACTTCCAGATCAAAGGCCGCACTCTCTTCTCCGTCCTCGTCCTCTTCTCCGTCGTCCTCCTCGTCACCCTCTTCTTTCTCTACTTCAGGTGGGTCTGTCGTTCCCGCCGGAACTCTCGGCTTTCCGGGCTCGAGCGGAACTTACCTCGTCAGAGTACCTGCATTGCCCGGCGGCGGGCTTGACCCCGCCGTCATCCGTGGCTTGCCCGTCGTGCTGCATCACAACCCCTCGTCGCAGACTCAGACTAAGACTCAGCTTCAGTCTCCGACTAGTACTACGATTGCTGCTATTTCTTTGAGTGAGACTCGACAAAACGAGTGCTGTATATGCTTGGGTGTCTTCGAAGATGGCGAAAAGGTTAAAGTTTTGCCTCCTTGTGGCCATTACTACCATTGTGAATGCGTCGATAAGTGGCTCAGTACCGAGTCAAGGTGCCCGCTTTGTCGAGCTTCTCTTCGAGTCGACTCAACCATCTCATTGGTAATACAATAAATTAATCACGACAGAGAAAGCTCATATTTTTTCCCTTAAAATCGAATCTGTAAATTGCATTAATTTTCGTTTAATATATTTTTTTCAATAATTTTTAAATTTCTGGGTTTTGTATGTTGGTTTTTTAGCC